GTGAAGTAACTTTTCAGCTTACAAGGCAAATCTTACCAGCAACTCCAAATATCCTTTAATTACTTGCTTGGGGGAATGAGTTCTCTTACTTTCCATGCAATTTGTATGCTAGCTAGAAAGTCCTTTTTAAACTCTCACATTCACTATTTCATGGCCCATCCAAATGACCAGCTCAACTAGGAACATATGATGCCATTTCCTACATTTTTACCCCTGCACATGAAATGTCCTAATCCTGAAAAAGTCCCACTCAGACAACTACACACAACTCACCAACATCCCTCCTTTCCCTCCATCCTGGAATTTCTAGGCCCTGTTCAGCTATCCATTTCCCCTGCCTAGCTACGGTTCACTGCTCCAGCTCAGTGTTTCCACAGGATACAACATACAAAACCAAATTCTCAACGATTTTTAAAACTATTTTTTCATCCTACTTCCCTGACCCTTCATGTAACTACTCTACTTTAAACCTTTTAGTGACTCCCACAGCCAAGAGCGGTATTTTTCAAATTACCAGTTGTTAGCACTTGGTTGTTAAATCAACTTACTGGATCTCAAATGTCATTCTTTTTTAAAAATAGAAAATACTACAACGCATCACACAAAGGTATTATTTTGTGACATTTTATCATTTATTTATGTGTGCACTAGGTTGTGAGGTAAAAATGTGTATCCTACTGTAATGGGTCACTGCCAAAAAAAGTTTAAAATACACCAGCTTTTGTTTGGTCCACAGGCCTTCTAACCTGGCCCCTGCATAAGGCTCTAGGTCTATCTCTTACCACAGCCCAAAGAGCCAAGTTTGTCAAGCCCAACTTTGTTGCAATTCCTAGTCTCAGTGCTGTCAATCACACTGTACCCTCTGCCTTGAATGGCCTCTCATTTGTCTACAAGGCCCACCTGCTCTCAGCTTTCATTATTTAATACCTATTACCTCCTCCACAAAAGCGTTTTTATCCTTCCCTCAGGAGCTAATGCTACACATACTTTGTATTTCTATGTAGCCCCTTAGACATTTCACTGTACTTTCTAATTTCAGGCCTGTCTTCCCAGCTTCTAAACTATAAACTCTCTGAGGGAAGGAGCACATGTTACGAGTCTCTGTATCAGGAGCACTGAGCTGCTGAACATGCCACATGAAAGGGGTTCAAATGAGTAAAATGAACAAAGAATTAGGACTTGCATCTAACTTCTCTGATGTTAGAAATGACTGAGTGGTTGCCTTTTCAACAAAGGCCATTCATATGCCAGTGCTGAATCAAGATTTCCACATTTTTGCCTCAGCCCCCAGTAGCCTGAGGCAGAAGAGGTGTCAGCTTCCTCTCTCAGCAAAGAAAGGACTCGGGTCAGGTTGCAATGCAGCAGCACCCACTTCCATGCTTCAGGAAGTTATCAGGGGAAAGGCAGAGAAAAGGGTTTCCAGAGGTTCCCACAGGCAGGTGAGATAAATCAGAAGAGCACTAATAGACCTTATTAGCATAGAGAATCACATTTTATAAATAACTTTCAATAGGGTGTCAAGGGAGGAGGGGAAGGTTCTCTATTCCCTGTGGATGGCACTAAATTGTCAATAGGAGCTATGCAAAACAAAAGGTAGCATGAAGTAACCCACTGAAGTTACTTGATTTCTATTGCCTACTCTAATGGCTCTGAAATAGCTCCTGACTCACAGCTCTCATTATGAGCTACTGCTTGGGAGGACTAGGGGTTGTACCTAACAGGCTCTCCTTGCCGGGGCTGTGCAACTTTTTACAGACTTTATCTCACATATATGAATGCTCTCATTTTTAGGGGGTCTGATTCACCTATTTCACAAGCCAACACTTCAACTGCCTTCGTAATTAAAAACAGTTCAGGCAGCATCCAAGATAGTTTGACAGACTCTGCCAACTGTCAGTTTCAGCTGTTCTTTTCCATTTCCACAATGGTTCAACAACTACTATTACAGGAGCCAGGTTGGTTTTCTGCCTAAACTCATCACCCATTTTCTTTCGTTCTTTTTTTTTTTTTTTTAAAGATTTTATTTATTTATTTGACAGAGAGAGACACAGCAAGAGAGGGAACACGAGCAGGGGGAGTGGGAGAGGGAGAAGCAGGCAGCCTGATGCGGGGCTCGATCCCAGGACCCTGGGATCATTACCTGAGCCAAAGGCAGACGCCCAACGACTGAGCCACCCAGGCGCCCCATCACCCATTTTCTTTAAGAATAAAAATAATTCCTAGGGGCTCCTAGGTGGCTCAGTCAGTTGAGCATCCAACTCTTGATTTCAGCTCAGGTCATGATCTCACAGCCCTGGGATCCAGCACTGTGTCTGGCTCCCCATTCAGCAGGGAGTTTGCCTGAGAGTCTGTCCCTCTCCCTCTGCCCCTCCCCCACTCAGGCTTGCGGACTCGCTCTCAAAAAAAAAAGAAAAAGAATTCCTTTTGCTTAAACTTTGCCCCTAGATCTGCAATTATATCCATAGTTAAGGCAAAGAAAAATTCCTATTATAACTTAACAGTCAAAAATACATTAAAAAAATGTGAAACTCGTCACTCACAATATTAAATTTTATATACCCGTTAAAGTAAGGTAATTTAAGATTGCCTGGATAAAACTTTAAAAGCCACTTAAAATACCGTTTCTTTTTGGGGCACCTGGGTGGCTCAGTTGGTTGGGCATCTGCCTTCAGCTCAGGTCATGATCTCGGGGTCCTAGGTTTGAGCCCCCCATTGCGCTTCCTGCTCAGCAGAGAGCCTGCTTTTCCCTCTCCCTCTGCCCCTCCCCTCCTGCTCATGCACAGGCTCGTGTGCACATGCTCTCTCCCTCCCTCAAATAAATAAATAAAATTAAAAAAAAAAAAAAACCACACACACCATTTTCTTTTGGTTTAAATAGGTACAGGAGGCTACCCTTATTCCACAAACACTTATTAGGTATAAACACCTACCGAGTATGAAAACTTCCACAAATGCCTTCTCTACGCTCTCTTCTCTCCTATTTCCACCCATTCAGCTTCTCTTGACAACTCAGATGAAACAAATCACTATCAGTGAGCCCTAAAACACTTTCAGAAAACTAATGCAGAAATGCTCCTTTTTCTGCTCTAGTCTACGTCTAAACTTCATTAGGAAAAAAACAAATAAATCAGTTTGTAAATAAATTTAATTATACTGAAGTATCAATAATGTGCGCCGTGTTTGGGGGCTTATTTTCATATTTTAAATACCAGCCCCCTTGGTAGCAAGTTCATCCCAAACTTTCCTTGGTAAAATGATGAGCAATCATGCAGCTTAAAGACTGTGGAAAACCAATTTTCTTCCATGATGCTACCAATCTACAGTCTAGAGAGAATGCAGCCTTCAACATGAAAAATTGCCACTTGTTTTTTTTTTTTTTTGCTCTGACATGTTTCAAACAGAAGAGCTGCAGATTCTCAAGGGAAGCCATATTTCAAAGGTTTTAAATAGCAGTACTTTCCGTATTTTCCCTTATTAAAATTGGTGCAATTCATCCAAAACATTTTTAAATGCCATTGCTTTGCAGCTGATGTGCTAAAAACTGCTTAGAGAAAACAATCTCTGCATGTGAAAGATCTACTTTAAGAAACCAACTAGTAATCATTAAAATAGAAAAGAAGAAAAAAAAAATCTCAATTTTACAGAATGGAAAAAATGTTAAAGCTTATCATCTAATGCCTTCATTTTACAGATAATAAAGAGTCCATAGAGGTTAAATAATTTGCCTCAGATCACCAAGCTACAAATAGCAGCAACATTAAGAATAAGGTATTTTAATTGCTTAGCACTACCCCAAATCATGCAAGTTATATATATTCTCATCACTTGCCATTTAAGTTTCAAAAACAATTATCACTTTCTCATTAGTTCCTGATGAAGAACTCCTACAACATATGTTCTACATTTTCAAACTTTTTCATGTTCATAAACTTCAAATTCTAACTCCAACAAAAAAAGGTAATACTGTCCAAGAACTTTCCTCTGAAAGTTTCAAAAAAGAAAGTGGAGGTGTGCATCCCCCTAAACTGTCACAATAAATTGTGGTCTATCCTCTCAATCCCTGTCCCTTAATTACACTTTAGATTTGTTTGTTCAACCACAAAGAGAGAGAGAGAGAGAGAAAATTCTGGAAGTTCCTCTGACAAAAAGTATGGACAATCTGTCAATGAAATGACTACATCATTACCCCATTAATACATTAGGAGTTTCTGGCTTACATTACAAAGAGTCACTAGCATTTTATCAAGTTACTGTGTGAAGAATTAATGAAAGGTTGGAAAACACACTCTTGGCTGACTTTGTACTGAAAGGTGTAGATTTGACACTGTTAACACAAACCGAAGACCTGAGCTTAAGAGCAGAAATGGAGAAAAAGTGCAAGTTCCTTCAACAGAAAATTAGCTTTTTCCTATTCAAGCTCTGATCCACCAAGGGCACTGGCACTGGGAAGACCACGTCGGTAAAAATTTCAGACCTTCGTGTTAATGCCCCAATAAATCAATTCTGCATGTTAGCTTGGGATATTCAAGGGCAAAACAGAGGGCACATTGGAGGCCACAATTTACACTGGATCATTTTCAAGGACTGAAGTCCAACCACTCATTCCTTTACAATTGTTCCCTTGTGTAACTGATTATCCTCAAAGTACTGAGAGAACGCAGCACTTCTCTCTCAAAGATACGGGCAACAAAACCTGACAATATGATTTTAATTACAAACTGCGGCAGCAGCCTGACCAGAAAAGTACAGAATGTGTTGCCTACTTAAATATTACTAATAAAACTATAGTCTGGTTACAAATTATGGATGTTCCTTAATTATGACCTCTGGTGTCACTCTATAAAAACAACTTGTCAAAAGGTTAACACAGCTACATTTTTAACGTACGACCAGCTTAGCAAAGTAGCTAATTTGTTTGAAAACATAAAACACAATCACCACCACCGCTCAACAACACATATAAACAGATTCAAAGCTATGTTAGGCACAAAAATCCTTACCCCATTTTGCCCAATGAAAACTTGCTCTGAAGTTTCTGTTCTTCTGCTACAGAATAACTTCCAAAGGAATTTCTCCGTCTGTTATTTCGCAGTTGCTTTTCCACCCCCCGAGATCCTTTTCTGGAGGTATTTCAGTGGTGCTGACAATTCAATTAGTTCCCTTAGGTAAAATGATTTCTCTCGTAGATACCAAAACGTTCAAACAGAGGTGGCATTTGCTTTAAATTAGAGTTAAAATGCTGCGCGGAGGAGACAGCGGTCAACTCTATTCCACGAAATGAGTCTACGTGTCTGTCGGAAAACGCAGAATCCAGCTTCACCGAGTCCTATAAAAAATGAGTTCGGTGGTCATTTCGCTCATGTCCTCCTCGACACTCTGGGAAAGCCAGGTAACTCGGCCTTTTGGCTACTAAGGCTGCGGGTTCAAATTTCTCCACCACACCAGTTCCCTTGGGGGTGGAGCGTGTAACCCAATGCGACGTGCACTTTATAGAGATCCCTAGGAGAAAATAAAAATCCTAAAAGCAGTAATGCCACTGCTTCCCTGCGGTCACGTTAGAAAAAGCTATATAGAAAAATCTCCTCGAGGTGCAAACCCAACAGCTCGCGATGTGCACGGCACTCCACATTGGAGTCTTTTAAACGTTTCCCCTCCTAAGACTCGGAGCAGAGAGGAGGTGGGGAGGAGGAAGAGAAGGCTGGGCAGGATCGATTCATTCTCCCGAGGAGAATAAACGGAGCCATTTCCAGGCTGGCAGCAGGCTGGGGGCGCAGCGCACGCTGGGGAGCAGGGGGAGGGGGCCCGATCCCACCTCCCTCAGCCCCTTCCCGCCCCGCGCCGCCGAGCACAATGGAGCCCGGCTCGCGCCCGGCCCTTCATTCGCGGCTGCCCCTCTTCCCTCCTCTCTTCGGAGAACCGCAGGTCTGAGGCTGCCGGCGGCGGAGAATGAATGAATCAGAGAGCCAAGCCCCACGCTGTCCTCGGCACCCGCTCCCAGCGCCAGGGCGGGCCGAGCGGCGGCGTTGGACTGAGCTGAAGGGTCAACCGGCGCCCGCCCGCGTCGAGGCGGGCGGCTAATCCCGCGTCGGGGGCCGGGGAGCGGGGCTCGAAGCCGCGGGAGAGCCGCTGCTCCAGCGCCCCCACCCGCGCTCCTCGCCGCCGCCACGCGCCGCCTCACAGTCCCCGGGCCCGCCGCCGCCTCCTCACACTTCCATCACCGCCCACCTCCGCCGGCCTCCAGCTCTCGCTCCGCAGAGCAGCGCCGGCCCGGGTGGCCTGAAGCCCGCCGCTGCCTCCGCCTCCACCGGCCGCTCGCGGAGCAGAGGACGCTGCTTCCCGGGTCAGCGCCGCCCGCGTGAGCCGAGCGCGGCGGCAAAGCGGGCTGCGGAGGGCGGGGAGGAGGCGGGGAGAGCCGGGGGCGAGAGCGGTCCCTCCCCCCCGCTCGTGGGAGGGGGCAGGAGGCGGCCACCGCCGCCGCCGCCGCGGAGCAGCGAGTAGGCGCCGGGGGTTGGGGCGCTGACCCGTCCCGAGGGCCCGGTGGGGCCCTGCGGGCGATGGGAAAGAAAGCAGCAGCTGCGAGGGTGGCGGGAAGGCTGGTGGTCAGGGGCCGAGCCGGCCCTCGTGGGGAGCTAGTCCAGCCGGCAGGTCCGTCAGTCCGTGCTTCCTTCCTTCCCTCCCCCCCCTCCCCTAGTGGCCAGCGGCGGGCGGACCGTGCGCTCTGCTCTTCCGCTGTCTCCTGGCCCCGCTCCCGGCCGCCACAGCCTCCTCCGCGCCCCACACCAGGTGCTCGCGCTGTGTCTCCATCCTCCCCGCAGGAGGACCTTTAAATAGCAACGTCAGCGCGCTCCTCTCCGCACACACGTCACCCGCCGCTCTCGTCACCGGGGTGCGGGGGATGATGTCACGCGGCCGGAAGTACTGCTAAATTAGGGAAGAAGCAGGGGGAGGAGGACTCGGTGAGCGCCTCTGTGCCCACCTGCTCTCGGTTCTCCTTAAAGGCCAAAGCACAGGAGACAGCCCAAGAGGAGCTCCCGAGAAGGAAGCGGCGGGAGGAGATTTCCCTGCAACAAATGTGCCAAACAAAAGTGAATCATTCGTAGCAATAGTGCCGAAGTGTCAAGCGGGTGATATCCTATCTCCCACTCTCACCTCTCTTGCAGCAGCGTCCCCGGGCTTCTCAAGTTTCAACTAGCACGGAAATGGAGGAGGAGAGCCTGATCACTGGTGATAGATATATTTCCAAGACTTGGGAAAAATCATCTTAATTTTTGAAAGAGTTATTAAGTGCCATTCTGGACATAGTAGACTTTAAAACTTCTTTTTTTCTTCGCTTAGTGGTTACCCAAATCACGAAAGAATAAAGAGCAAACTATGAACAAGCGGTACAATGTTATAAAAGATAGTAATAGAGGTTGGAGAAAGGAAGGCCATCAAATGATCTAAATATTTTCATTTGCAGAAAAGCAACGTTTTGGCATACGATAGTGAGACAATCTTAACTTTAAAAGTTCACTCATAATTACTGTCATATTTTTTTTTTTAAGATTTTATTTATTTATTTGAGAGAGAAAGAATGAGAGACAGCGTGAGAGGGAAGAGGATCATAGGGAGAAGAGGACTCCCTGCGCTGAGCAGGGAGCCTGATGTGGGACTCGATCCCGGGACTCCAGGATCATGACCTGAGCTGAAGGCAGTCGCTTAACCAACTGAGCCACCCAGGCGCCCCTACTGTCGTATTTCTAGCAGATGCCAGTATACCCTCTCAGTTCCAGTTTATCAAGAATATGAGGTCCATTCTATGGAAATTAAAAATAAGGAAGACCACCAAAAATTTTTTTAACTATTAACACAAGTTCATTTAGATTATTTTTGTATTCTTTAGTTCTAGCCATGTGATATATATATTAATACATATAATTACAGCATGTAATTATAATATGGCTTGTTTTTCATTTCCTATATGACAAGGGTGGGTAGACATTTATAGATTTACTAGTTATGTGTGTTAATAAATCATATTATGAATGCTTTTCAAATTGCAATTACTACAAAGTTTTTAAATGTCCTTATTGTTTTGATAGCTTATTATTGGGTAGTCTCAAATGATGAACTTTTAGTTTAATTTGATAATCATGACCCAGAAATAGAATTACTATATAATGCCAAAGGCCATTGTTATTTCAGAGTTGGTCTATAAATTCAGTGACCACATTTTCCGAACTAAAATCCGTACACATCATTTGACAACAGAAAAAATATTTGAAATCTGAAGTGACCTGGAAAATCCAGGACACACGATTACCAACCTTTAAAGTGATTGTTAGAGGAGAGCTATAAATGGATATCAATGCATTTGTTTTAAATCCAAGAAGCTAAAGCTCTACGGAATTTATATTATGTATTTTTTTAAAAATTTTTTAATGTTACACTACTCACAAGATTCCTCATTAAAGAGATTGGTTTTCCAGGCTTTTGCCCAATGTTAAAGGACACCAGCCAAAAAAGTTAGGTCCAGTTTGCAACTAAATCAGACTTTCTGCTTATCTTCACATTATAAAACCATGATCTTGTTTATAATTTGAAATATTGAAAATCGGGGCGCCTGGGTGGCTCAGTCGTTAAGCGTCTGCCTTCAGCTCAGGTCATAATCCCAGGGTCCTGGGATCAAGCCCCACATCAGGCTCCCTGCTGGGCTGGAAGCCCGCCGCTCCCTCTCCCACTCCCCCTGCCTGTGTTCCCTCTCTCGCTGTCTCTCTCTCTGAAATAAATAAATAAAATCTTTAAAAAAATATTGAAAATCGTTTTTTTAAGATATAACAAAGATTAATAAAGCAAACCCCTGCTTGCCAATTTGTCTAATATATATTATCACATTAATAGAAACTGGTGCTAACTTATATTTCAGATAAATAGGAGCTTTTTTTTTTTTTTTT